TGAACACGTAAGAATGGACGCCGCCATCTTTCTACTGCGACTGCCTTACCTCTCCAACCGCAGTGATGAAAGCAGGAAGTGACGACAAAATCCGTGACGTCATATGCTCGCAAACGTGCTTCGACAGCTTACTGCTATGTATTTTGGAACGATACTTGTGACGCTGCCAGTACTGGCAGTAAATATCGGAATGCACCCATTGTCTGCACCGTAACGGTGAGCTTCAGGTCGGCACCGTACTAGCAATATAGGAGTATTACATATATGGGCCACAATTGAAACAGAAAAATATATCTCTTTGTCGACCCTCCTTGCGCTCGCATGGCCTCTCCATGAGTATAAACTCTATGTTGGCCTCCCAACAGTAATTGGCCATGTATTAAAGAAGTAATAAATAGAAATAAATACTATTATTATATTCTAAATTATAAACATTTTAATATTAATTAAGTTTTTCTGCTCCAAATAAAAGTAATATTATAGTATTTAAGAAACTCAAAAACTTATTGTTATACGACAAACATTGGCCAACCGGCCAATCACTGTTTTTAAGGTTATGAAAACCATGTGACAGTCATTGGCCTCTTATTTTGATTTATAGATACAAATGTAAGTAGATTATTAGTTTTTAATGTGTTATAAATAAAATATTCATTACTATATCTTTATAAGTCAAAACAAAAAATTTATTATAACTGTTATGTAAACAGATACTAACAGAACTTATATGGCCAATAACTGTCTATTTTGACTATAGAAAATATTTTATCAAATTTTGAATAATTTTTCAAATTTTCTAATAAATTTATTATTTTATTTGCGATTGTTATAGTTTGTTTGAGCTAGTAGTACTGAAGATTTACTTCAAGTTATTAAATTTAATTTCATAATTCATTCTATATAGTGCAGGTGGCCAATCACTGTATCTCTTATCCCTACTTTATCTTTATCACTCACTAGATATGAAACAAAAGGTCTGTTTTTCTTGTATACACTTTATACACTTTAGGCTCATTCTACAATAAGATATTAGTTTAGTCGTAAGCTGTATGTCGTAAGAAATGAACCAATCACATACAAATTACAGAAGAATAATCGATTGTGATTGGTTCATTTCTTACGACTTACAGCTTACGACTAAACTAATATCTTATTGTAGAATGGGCCTTAGACCTGTTCTACAATACAGTCGTAAGTCGTAAGTCGTAAGAAATTGACCAATCACAATCGATTATTCTTCTGTAATTGATCTGTGATTGGTCAATTTCTTACGACTTACGACTTACGACTGTATTGTAGAACAGGCCTTAGTGTAAAGTGTACATTTTAGCGTTTTTCTTGCCGGAAGTGACGTTGAGTTACGTCATTACACGCTGTTCTTCTTGAAAGTGTAGTACACTTTAATGACGTAATTTACACGTTTTGTACACCT